TGCATAGTAAAATAATAGAAAGTGTGGCAGGCCTCAAATCCAAAATAAAAGATGGCTGCAAGGGAGGATTTACAGTCACAGATCTTATCTGGCTTGGAGAGGCTGACAGGCTGATATCTGCAAAACTTGGCAAGGAGTCTCAGAGAGTCACGAACCAATGAAGTGAACTAATTGTCTCCTGCAAACTCCACTCCCCTTTTGCTCCTCTTTTATTTCCTCTGGGAGGAGTTATTCACCATCCACCTGTGGCCTTACTCCCAAGTCGATACCTGTTCTTTAGCTGTTCCCTGGTGCAGGGCTTTGGGTGAAGGTTAGAGGGAAGCGCTCCTGGTGGCAAAGAGCCAGAGGGCCTTGTTCCAATGGGACAGCATCATGGACTGGAACTGGCTGACCACCTCAGCCCACTGAGCCTCCAGGCGCTGGTAGCTGGCCTTGCACTCCTGCAGGTCTTCCGTCTGCTTGGAAAGCCTATACTTGTAGTCCTAAGTGAGGTGCTTCTGCTGAGCATCCTTCTCAGCCAGATCCAATTTGAACTGAGCCAGCTATTTTGCCAACTCTTTCTCCTGGTGGCTGCTTAACTCCAACAACTGCTTCCTGTTGGGGCCCCAAGGAGCCTGGACGGGCAGGTGAGGAGTGACTGGGAGGGGAGGGGCGCGTAGAGGCCATCGAGGCGCCCCTTGACATGAGTGACATTGAGTTGGCCACACCCACCCAGTCACATGACCACCTAGCCATGCCCACCGAGCCAGTCATTAGGCAGATCATCTTAGTGGTCTGCGGGATTTAAAATTATGAATTTAGTGGTCCCTGCGATCCAAACACTTGGTGACCCATTATCTGGAAGAAGATGAAAAAAATAAGCAACAGCCTATTTTCAATGTATGAGTATAAGGAAATCCGGGATCCAACTTGCAGTAGCATTATTAGACCTTCCACAACAGCTCCAGCTACGTGTAAGAAAGGCACCCCTAACATCCTATCTTTCTTTCACTGTTCTTCACCCCATTATATTTTTTTAAAAAATCTGGAGTTACTCACTGTACATGAGGTTGGATGCATAGAATCCAGGGTCTTGGCGATTAACGTGGGCTTCATCGGAACAAAATCGCTTGATATTCTCTGACAAGTACCAGCTCCAATTTTCATTAAAGACAGAAAACAGCACAAATCTTGCTTCATCGGCAATCATCTGACAGGATCACAAAAGTAGGAGATTAATGGGTCAGAATCTGGGTGGGGAAACTAGAGATTAAGATGTTGGACCAAGAAGACCAATGACCTAAAACTTTCTTTGCTGACTGTAAGATTGCCACTAACTTACAAATTGATAAGGGGGATATATTTGCTCTTTGAATAATGCTAGGCTATGGATCAAATGTTTCTAGCGAATTAGTTGCTGGTAAAACTGTCTTCCCTTCTCCAAAAAAGTGACCTCATTGAAGAACAAATTATTAATAATATTTGGATGTATAAGTCTTCCATCATTGAAAGCCAAACTAGTATCTTCAAGTAGTGTTGTTCTCTAGTTTTCTCCCACAATAATAAGAAAGCATTTCTTACACAATGTCTTTGAAATTAACCATGTTTTTCCCATACAATAAGAAGGCATGCCAACACAATTGTAAATCGTGTCCAATGTCAATAATCTTATGTTTCTCAGTACAATCCATTCTTTCATCCACATTAACACTGCTCCCTGGTAATATAATTTCCAATTTGGTCATCCAAAACCTCCTCTAACTCTTGCATCTTGTAGCATTTTTACATTAATTCACACGTTTTTTCTCCCTGCCAAATGTATTTCACTAATTAAGATCTTCAAAATATTTTTTCTCCAATTTTATTGGAATTGTTTGAAACAAAAACAACAATCTCAGCAATACATTCATCTTAATTGTAGCTATTCCTCTTAGCGATAATTGCAAGTTTTTACATTTTTTCAAATCTATCTTAATTTGTTTTATCAGCTTAAAATAACCATCTTCCATAATCGTTACACATCTTGCTGTTAGTTGAATCCCTAAATATTTTACTTTCTTTGTGATCTGAATATCTAATCTCTTCATTAACTCTTTTTTCTGTTTCTCTGTAATATTTTTTACTAATATCTTAGTTTCTTTCTTCCTTATTTATTTTCAGTCCTGCTGTCAGCCATTTTCATTTTAGGATCTTTGCCCTGCCACACTCTCTGTTATTTTACTATGCTATGGGGTAATTGGGAGGGGGAATAGTAAGGAGTAGAATTTGTTGTTGTCAAAATAAAACATTCCTTTCTAGAAGCCCAAGGTCATTCTTTGTCTCTGCACCCCTGCACCTGACCAGAAGTGGATGGGTGGAGATGCCAGCATGGCAATGGAAGATTGGACCATGTGATGGACTTGTGGGTATGGGGCAGTGGTGGGTTTCAATTTTTTTTAGAATCTCTTCTGTAGGTGTGGCTTGCTTTGTGGGAGTGGCTTGTCGGCCATGTGACCGGGTGGGAGTGGCTTGCCAGCCATTTGACTGGGTGGGAGTGGCCAACTTGTAAAATGTGGTGAAACTCACTTAAC